CTTGGTTGCAACCATTTTTTCAAGACTGAACCAATTATCAGTCAGACACCTTGTGACAGTGTTTTTAGTTCAGCAGCATTCACACCCTGTCATAGCAAGGTTTTTAACCAATTAAAAAACAAATTAGTTATGACACTAGAAACACATATATTCATGTGAAAAAATTAATAATTGCATTAATAAATTTTAACTGTTGTTACTTGATAATTGGGGTATGAAAGTTCAAACTGTGCTCCTGTGTAGGTTTTTTGACTCAAAATGAACAAATAGCAATAACTAAAAAACATTGTTATTTAAAAAACAATAAATTACAGCTATCTAATCTCAGCAGTCAGGCCATGTCATAGACCTGTAAGGAGGTTCTCTGCTGTCCAGCTACTGTTATTCTGCTACTTCTACTGGCTCAGGGGGTATGTGTCCCTAACCGTAGGGTTGGAGGTTTGATCTCTGGCTTCTACCAAAATTGTGACCAAAATGAAATCATTCAAATTCAGTAGTATTAAATATATTTTTGCCAATGTGCAGAACCGAGCACTTAACTGAATACAAAGTTTTCTTCCCTGTGGTGATACTATAACTTGAATTCAAGTCATAATATCCTCCAGGCAGAGCTTCCTCTTAAACATATTAAACTCCTGCCTATTATGGTGGGATTCGGAGACCCTGACCCGTAACCATGGCCTCACAACTGTAACCTAAAACAAGACAGCACACACTGCAGAAGAAAGAAACAACCTGCAAAAAAGTACAATTTCTGGACATTTTGGTACTCTGGGTGGAACAGCCATGCCAGCGCCCTGTTGGGGCTGATTTTTCTGTTCAAATATTTTCAGGTAAATATAACAATTCTGTTATTCCTTATTTTTTTAAAAATATATTATTATTCAACTTTTGTTTTGTGTTGTCATAAACATTATCAATCTGTAGTAATTCTTTATTAATACCTTTACATTAACACTAGTCCCTGGTATATCTAATCATGCTGAGGATATGACATATACTGTAAGTAGTCACATGCTTTTCTGTACTGAGCAGCAGCAAAGCATCCAAAATGTATTTTAATTAATTTGTTTCCTTTATTATACAGCTTAGAATAGACAAGCTTATAATAGACACATTAAATTTGTATCAGATTTAGCAAATCTGACCTCTTACTTGCATCATTCACTGATGCTGCTGTCTTATAATAATAATAATAATAATCACTTTTATTTGACCAAGTATATTACACACACACACAATGAATTTGTTTCCGGTACAGAACCGAGGCAGCCATCTGTGGCGCCAACTCACACCAATGGCTCTAACCATCGGGGGCAACTTGAGGGTTCAGTGTCTTGCCCAAGGACACTTCGACACGTGGACTGCAGGCACCGAGATTCGAACCTTCAACCCTCTGGTTGGCAGACATCATTATCTGTAATTGTCTGCTTTTATTTTTTGGTCTATTTTGTGGTTCAGTAGGTCACACACACAACACTGCACCTTCAGTGGTTTAATTGAGCAAGGTGAAGTACCTTATGAAAACAGTCGTTCCAGGGACAAACATCTGGTGTTAAAGTTTTTTTTATTATTGAAACAAAGTAACACATTAACAAAACAGTACTGAACATGGGAGACAAGACAACACATACATGATATTACAAAAGGATATGGAGTGTTTTACAAGATTGTAGTGTGTGAAGTGTGGGTATTTCCAATTTATGCAGTTTATGAAGCGCAAGAAAGGCAAAAGGGGGGAAAATAAATAAAAAATGACCAGTAATAATGATGATAACACTACTAGTGGTGTTAAAGTTAATACAAATAATCAAAACCTTGGACTCCATGGCTTGAGCAACAGTCTGGCTTGCCCATTCCTGAAAATGGTCCTGCTGGGAGACTCAGTTCGTGGGAATTAAGTTACTTGTCCAATTATACTAAGGTGGCCAATCATTGTTGCAATTCAGTCTGAAAGAAATTAGAGAACATCTAAAAATCATACAGTTAAGCCGAAGTTGTATCACTTTATCTGGTTGCCAAAGAAACTGAGTCTCAGAATGTGTTTTGTCTTATTTTACCCCAAAAGACAATTAACACACAAAGGTTGCAGAGACCACATTCATTTATTCATGTGTAATTTTATACCAAAATGATAATCACAGGTCTAAACCCATGTGGTCTTGGGGTATTGAAAGGGAACACCCAAAACAATGCAGACTGGCACATTTAATTTATAGTATATGTTTTGCTTTATGTTTTTTTATGAATAATTAAACTTTTTTGACCGCTAGTGTACGAAACAGAAACAACAAACACTGTAAGTTATGGTCAAGTCCAAGGCTTTACTGTAATGCATTGTTGGTACATATCTTTTATTTTGAAAATGTAATTCAAAGACAGATTCTACATTGAAATGACTTAACTTGCAAATTAAAAAAGAAATGTTATAACTAAACCTGATACACTTTTTAATCTCTGCTAGGCCACCACATAAATTTTCCAACAACAGACAGCCAGACACAATAAACACACATTACACCTATATGAACATGTGAAGTAGTCACACATATGACTAGTTCCGATCAATCAATTGCCTGAAACAAACTTTTACAGCTCAGCTCCTCCTATGCAATCTGCATAAATCATAAATCAGCCCAATCTTGTGACTGCAGCAGTGATAGCTACTGCTTCTGCACTGCCTCTGCCAGGCCTACTATTACTTCCCTCCCCTGACCTGCATAATAACTGTAATGATAATAATGATATGCACATCAGGGCCAGCGCATAAATGTCAGGATCAATCTGGCCTGAGCGAGAGTACATATGCATAAAAAACAACTTAGAAGGACAAGTGAGTGCACTGCCAGTGTTTTTCTGAGTGCTACAGAAAAAAAGCACAAAACAAATAGACATGTTTATCCTGAAGAGTTGAGTGACCGCTTACATGAATATTTTGCTCATTTGTATGTGTGATTGTGCCCCTATGTGTATTTGTGTGTCCTCCCATTATGCATGAGTGATGACTTCTAGTGTCTATGTCCCCCACACATCATTCCTCTATGCATATAAAAACAGCCTACTGCTTTAATATCCTCATTTAATGACTAGCCCCAGTGAAATACCATTAACGTAATGACATCACACTGGCCATCTCCAACACATACCACACACACAAAAGCATGTTAACTCTGAGCAGTGACATTCTTTTCTTTAATTAATTAACAATGAATAACAGTAGAAGTAAAATATTTTTTATTATGCTTATATGAGCACAGCTATGTTTTAATTTTAAACCCAAAAGGAGCTCTTTGCAATTATCTGCACATACAGCACACTATAGTGCCTGTGTGTGTGTGTGTGTGTGTGTGTGTGTGTGTGTGTGTGTGTTTGACTGTGGCAGCAGTGAAGTTAGGAGTTGCATTTTCATGTTGCTCATTCAAGGTCAGTTCCCAATCAAGCAGAGTGAATACATAGAGACATTACAGGAACATATGTGCTTGCATATTTATTATCCTGTTATCGTACACGCACTCTGCATGCACATTGACTGCACACAAGCAATTTGTAATATTGAAGAGCTGACACAGTAAGATTTCGTAATGTATTGACCGTGTCACAGCACAGTCATGCAAGGTGGTAGAGCTACTGATACGCAGTGCTGGCTTGTCATCTGTGTTCCTTAAATGTGACCTGATGTAACTCAGTGCAGACAGCAGATCCAAGGCCACACTTATGACATCAGAGCACCCACGGGGGGTTAAGGAAAGCAATGCTTTGGAGCACTTCACTGAAAAATAAAAATATTTTTGATTACTACAAAATGACATACACAGACAATGAAATAAGTACAAATAATTTTATTGTGTTAATATAGACAATACACAATTTATTTATTGCATAGATTACAAAACTATACAACAGTATCATGAAGACTTTCTCAAAAAGTTCATAAATAATAATGCTCATTCATTAAAACAAAAATAGCAAAAACCTTAAATGATATATTGGTTCTAAACAGCAAAATCATATTTTAACATCAACAAAATTGTCATCACAGACCACAAACATACACAGGTATACACCAATATACTCACATTTGCATATACTTGTGCATATTAATTGCTTAGACAAACAGTTAAACACAAGCAAAGGCAAAACTAAACATAAATAAATAATTTTGTGATCAGTGCTGCATCGTTAATAGTTCATAATTGGGTTATACAGTTGATATAGCAGCTATACCTCAGAACAAAATTTCCCATGGTGTCATTTGTGGCAGCAACACCCAAGATCATCATCCCACCATACAAACATGTAAACATGCGCACATCATCCACATCATTTTTGTCCTTCCAATTAGAATTTTTAATATCCTGGTCAGCATTAATGGAGATTAATGGCTGAGCCCCATGGTGAATTACAGCGTCATCTATTATCATTCCAGCTTTGGGCCCAGTCTGCTCTAATTATATCCTCAAAACGCCCTCCGCTCTACAACCCCCAATACCCTAAGATCAATCAATAATTTTAATTTTGGGATGCCCCCCAACCCTGCTCCCATCCCTACTCGTCCTGTAGTTTTGCTCCTTTGTTCCTACTCCGCGAGTGTCTGTTTCCAAAGAAAATCAAATGCCAGTAGAAATGATGTGCAATTAATTACCTATCTTGTCTATAGCTCCCTTTGAATCCTTGGTTCTGGTTGTTTGGCTGCTGGTCCCCACTTGTTTCTCTCTTGAGTCTGCTATGTCTTTCCTCCCTCTCCCTTTTTCTGACTGGTGTACGACTTCTTGTCACATAATTAGCATGCAGATATGCATTGCCTGCTTTGCAAGTCAATTCACCTCACTATCCCTCCGCCTACTCTCTCTCGCCCTTGCTCTCTGATTGGACTTTTTCAAATAGGGTGTTTCATTTGGGGACCCCACCCCCCACTCACTCACCCATCCAGGATATCCAAACACACACACACACACACACACACACACACACAGAGTGTACTGTATGTTAACATTCCCCTTTACCTGCAGGCTACAGATCTTTGCCCAGTCTACCCAACTGCCAGCCATACAAAACAAGTAAAATATGTAACCACATTTACAGTCTTGTGGTCTTTTCAAAAAAACCTTGGATTTTCTACCTGTTTTGGTCACATGTGCCAGTCTACCAATGACATTGTGCAAACCTCAGTGGCTGGATCCAAATGATACATCTTTTCCTTTTTGGTGTGATAATCTGTTGCTTCATTGGCACACATTCACATGGGCAGAGATGCAGCACAATATGTGTTTTGCACCCTTCCCAAATGCTAGATAAACACATTTCTTTCTCTCTCTCTCACACACACACACATACACACAGAGAACATTTGTTGGTGCAGAAAGATGTTTGCTCAGCACATTTCAATACGAACATCATAATACTCTATCTAGTTGCCATCCATTTCCTTGTCAAAAATCAACATGAGCCAGCGTTTTTTATTCCCAAATCGCTGTGAGGCAAAAATCACATTAATTTTCTCACTAAAACCCAAATGTCATTATGTAAAAAAAGAAAGAGGCGGGTTACAGCATCTATTTTTGATGGCCATGGATAAAGATATCCACATGCAGAGTCAATATTTGACCTTCACCACCTTGCATAGAGGTCAAATTGTAGGCCAGCCCTCTACCTTTCACCCCCACTTTGCTGTAAGCTCTCATACCTACTTACACATCTCACACAGTGCAGGCAGTGATAATGAAACATTAAATTAACATCGTTTTACACAGATTAAAGATAAGAGAGGTTCCCTGGTCCCATTGTGCCAATATAGTGAAAGTGAAACACTAAGATCCATTTAGGGAATTTCCTGCTACAGCGCGTGTCCTCAGATGTGACCCTACTATAAACACAGAAAGCAACAAGTGTCAGAGTGTAGGTTTCCCTGTGTAGTCATGTCTTAGTATCTTTGGCACCAGGCCAGCTTTGCCATCTGTCTCTTCTCCCCCTTTCCCTGTCTCTCCTCCTCCTTTTCCAAGCCAATCTGCTCTACATTTGCTATCATTACGTGCTTGCCATCCTTATGGCATATCAGAGGCAGACACCAGGCACCCTTTACCCCTCTCTCTCTTCTCCTCCTCACGCCCCTTTTCCCTATTTCCACAACTACTTCACCACAGAGTTCTCTAAAGGGTCCAGGTGGCATCTTGCCCTGCTCTCCTCTCTGAACCATTATGGAAAACAAAGAAGCGCAGGGAAAAGAACAAAAAACAAAGGCAAAAAAGCCCCCAAAGTGAGAATATATTCCTCTCCACATCCTGCTTAGAATTGCTGTGCTTCCTGTGCCCACAGGCTTGGTGTTGGTTTGTTGTTGATTTCCATGCTTCGCCTACTTCTGGATGGCTATTGCTGTTTGAGCAAAAAGGCTGAGAAGTAAACCCTCTTCAAACCTTGGAACTGCCCTGGCTTTGGTGCTGTTCACAGGAACCTGGTACGTCTCCTGTGCCCACACACTCACATACACACATGCACGTGGATGCTGCGGAGTGTTTTTCTCAGAGCTCCCTGCCACCTCGTCTGCCTGCTGCCTCGAAAGAACTGGGAATACCATGGGATCTACCAGAGACTCACTCGCACACATGCACATACGCCAGATTTAATACGCAGGAGCACTCACCAATCGTTTAAGGCTGCAGGAAAGTGAATAATCAATTAAGTATTGATTTCTTGTAAGTTTTTTTAATTCCAAAGGCAAAGACAAAGAGCGTAGTTTGAGGAGCGCCGCTGTGAGCGAGAGGAGCCGCGAATTAGCCAATAAACACAGACGGGGGAATAAACGAAGGTGAACAAACGAACTGCTCATCAGTGCAATATGCTTCTGTGTTTTTCTTGTTTCTACAAGCCCTTCCAGATAAATTAATGCTGAATGCAAAAATGTTTTCCTATGGAGACGAAGAGATGGCGAATGGGTGAGCAAGGGTTAAAAGCAAAAGCTGCAGGAGGAGACAGAATGACTGGAGGACTCGGTAATTAGGCAGTCGGCAACACACATCACATCAGTATGCGGAGTATGCAAATTCACCTTCTGGCTCTTTCTTTTTGTCATAGATCAGAAGACAAGAGCTGCAGAGAAGAATTAAGAGCTATTATTCTTCCAAAGGAGAGGCTGATATATGCAAATGAAAAGAAAAGGGGAGGAGGAGCAGAGCAAAGAACACTGTAACGTCAAAGATATACAATGGACTCCACTACAAAGGAGAGCCAAAATACATTCATACAAATACTTATTCTTCCTCACACCGTGGGAGAGACTTCAACATTTGCGCTAGAAATAGCGAAAAAGAAAACGACAATCAGACATGCACCTTCATTCCCTATTATGCCTATCTCTGTATATTGATAGGCTGCCTCGTGGATGATAATTACCTTTTGGGATATTGAATCGCAAAATGAGCTTCCGAACGAAGGAACAAGAAGAAATGGCAAGAAAAAAAAGAATGGAGGTATGCAAAGGCGCTAATAAGATTCAGAGTGCTGACTGTATGTCATCTACATGGTGACGACGGCCAATTTTAATGAACCATTGGCTCCCCACTACAGATAAGTAATGGAGAGAAGGATATGGGTGTCGAGGAGGGTGAAGCGAAAAGAACTTCCTTGTGCCTTTCTTCTTAATTTCCAGCTGATATTTGCAGATTCTGCACCATGTGGATTTACAGTAATAATACATGTTGAAAAAAAAAAGACAACCTTTCCTTATATTGTCTCTTGAATGGAATAAAGGCCACAGAAGATAAGAGCATCCTTCCATTAGGATTTATTGCTGCTTGGGCTAGTACTCCATCGCCATGTTGCTCAACTGGGTTTTAGTTCTGATGGCACTCGCTCCTATACCAACCGTTCCAACGATCCAAAAAATCTGTTGGGAAACACATACATATACACAAGCTTACACACACACAATGGCGTCTTTCACACTGCTGCCCTATCCCCTTCTTCATCATTCTACAAAAAGCTTCCCCATTGCTGTTTTGCATATTTGCATGCCGCCGCCCCTGCCACGAAGGACTAAGCAGCCGTATGCAAAACAGTCTGGTATTCCCACTTACACAGCAATGAGATGAAAAGTGTGAAAAGATGGGGGGGGAGAATTGCAGAAGCTGGGCGGGGGAAATACATGATGGAGGCAGGAAGACAGAAAGGTGGGGGGTGGGGGCAGGAAGGCCACAGGGGAGCTTGTTGGCACTAAAAAGGGGCACGCGTGATGATGCCACTCCTACTGCGTGATGACAGAAAGACGCAGGCGTGGGAAAAACAGAGGAGTGGAGGGGGCATGAAGGGGAGGAGGAAAATGGGGTACGAAGGCATGTTGGCACTAAACGGGGGCACGTGTTGCCACAGGAGGAGGGGTGATGTGGGTGGGTGAGGTGCAGTGGGAGGTACAGCAAAATAGGGGGTTAGACAGGGGCGCGGCAGGGGGTGGCACAACATACAAATGAGTTTCTAAAAAGGAAGGGTTTTTAGATTGAGGGACTATGTGCATTAAGGAGGAATGTCACACCATTAAAACACAAGCCACATACCAGACCTCCCTGTTCACACGTGCACAGACACACACCTCTTATCAGATCTCAGGGGAATATGCCAGGGGGTGTGGCTGCCATGCCTGTGACAAAGCATGGTTAACTTCAACACAAAATACCCACAGACCTCCAGGGGTGCACACATACACACCCACACAGTTTAACATATACAGATGCATCAGGAAGTTCAGTCTTTATTGCAGACCAGGCACAAATCCAAGCACAGTGTGCCTGGTAGTGCACTGTTTTTGTGTGTTTGACTTAGAAGGATTTCTCTTTTATAGTTCATTCTCTTGTATGAGATGTTTTATTGCAGTGTACAGTATTTTGTAGTAGTTGCTGAAATTGATTTGTATTTAATATCTGCTGTTATTCCGATAAAGTTTATTGTTCATCTGTAAAATATTGTTCCTTATGATGACCAATCTAAGAGGCCCAGTGTTTTTACCAAGTGCAATTTCACTTAATTCAATTTCATAAGAAAACACCAATTATTGTTTGACTTTTACCATTCATATTTATATCTTTACTTACATCGCCTTTTGTCAAATCATTAAAAGAGTAACAAGAAAAAAGTGTGGTAGTTAGAAAAGAAGGCACATTTATAAAAAATATGGTTGTATAAGCTCTTTTCACCATCTCCATCAGATGGAAAAGGTCTAAGACTAGCTCAGCTGTGAATGAACCTTGACCTTGGTGACAAAAACAATAAATTGGTTAGACTCAAGTCAGGAGTTCACGTTTACCATCGTAAAGTCATCCAGTGGAAAGTCGATTTGATTATTTTCACATTCACTTCTAGTTTAAGAGTGATAGTAGTTTCACATGCCCTTCTTGAGATGCAAGCCCATAGCTTTTAGCCTTGGTAAGTGAATTATCCGTGGCAGTATCAAATTACCCTCAACAGAGACCAAAGGTTGCTTAAAGGCCTTTTAGTCATCCACACTGGCACACCAGCTAATTTACAGCAGACTCATTAGATCAGCATTAAACACAATTTCCTCTTGACAAATTTCATTTGGTAGGAAAATCATTACTATGGCAATAATAAACAAGCCTATACAGTAGTGGCTAATGGCAATTTGAGTAACCTAATGTCATCAGCAAAGGCCAAAAATAGCAACAGTGCCTTGATGGCCATGATCAGAGCTACCATAGATTTTGATGTGACAAGTGTTAAAAATTATTTTGGAGTTTGTATTTCTTTTTGTTTGTTTGTTTGTTTGTTTTTCCTAAGCTGGACTATGGACTATGACAGTGGAAATTTAATGTTTCATAACTGTCTGTGCACAGGGTTGTGTGTAGCCTGAGGTTGCTGTGCTGAACAATAAACCATAATTTGATAGATGAGAAATTACAGTGGTCCATCTACTGTGTAGGGCTCTCACCTCAGGCAACACAATACTGCACCAGATGATGTGTCACATTTCTCAGAGAACGAGAGAAAAATGAAATTATTCTTTTATACTTTTTTAATAATATCTTCTTGTGTTTTGAATATAGCATCCCTGATTTTACTGTGTAGATAAACAAATTATTATCATTAAAGGAAGTGATATGAGATGAGAAGGCCGCATACTTCATGTGGTGCACATATTATTGCTTATACCACAGATTTATATTTATACAGTCACTAAACACATAGAAGATACTGTATGCATCATGGGTAGATCATCTCTGTTAGCCTGTTTTCATTTTCAATTAGCAAACATGTGGCTCTTCGAGTTGTGGCATAGATTTACAAAATTATGTTTGTTTCTTTTTTGTGTGTGTGTGTGTGTAATACTCTGGGTGAGAACTATGGAGACCGACCATTAGTACACCTGGAGCATGCTCCACTAGTGTGTCATTTTTGTCAAGCATACAGGACTGATTTGACTTGGCCCAGTGGTGAGTGACAGCCATGTGAATAAACACAAGGATTATGATCCTACTGAGTACTTAATTTGAAATTAGTGGGTAGAACTAATAGCACACATAATAGAAAATACTTTAAGTGAAAGTATTTAAAATACATCGAAGTATATAATGAGGCAAAGCTAACAAGTTTGAGGGTTGATAGGCAGCTATTTATTATCCCAACTGTGTGGCTTCACCACTAGGGTCACTATGTGGCATTTGTTAACTTTTACTGTGCATCTTGCAAGAAAGAAATCCATTTAAATCTGCCCCAAGCAGTCTCTCATTGTCTGATCAGTTATAGCAGCTATTTGATAAGACAGATGTAATGTTTAGAATGTTATATTTTATTGCATGTTTTAAAAGGTTGAATCAATAGCAAGGAGGCTAATCCCACTTCTTTGTTCTAGTGTGTTGTATGTCTTGTCAGACAACAGTGGTGCAGAAGTCAGTGGAGGAAACGTTCTCGTATTTTTGAAGCTCGCATCCTCAGATGGTGGTGATGTTGTGCAAAATAGATGGCTTTTCTTCCTCAGTAATTTTACAATCTTGACATGAAATCTTATATCCAACCCCTCTGTCATTAAGGAACACCCCCACTCATGCTTTTCTTTTTTGATAGATGTTCAAAAAGATGTTTTTTTTTTCTGGTCAGTGGGCTCATGCAATGTTTATTAGATAAAATGTTAGCCACTGTCATGAGACAAAAGGTGAAAACATGCTAAACACAAAACAGAAGTTTATCTCAGCCAATGGCAGTTCTCTGTCTTTCCACTGGTCTTTTTTATTACAAATTGAGACCAAACAGGGAAGGGCTAGATTTGTATTTGATTTAAAACAGCCATATGTATTATAGCATTTATGATCAGAACATGTGTCTGTGTCTGACAATTAACTTGACTCCAGGCAGTTTTATGGTCAGATTCAAACAGGGACTGCATTTTATAGCAATGATAGAAGTCAAAATGGGCATAAGTTAAATCCATAAAGCATTACCAAATGGTTTATATAGGGAAGGGAAGTTGGAATGGGAGAGTTCATCTTCCACATCTGAAATGTCACAGTAGCTTCTGTGATGGGGGGGGGGGTTCACATGTTCTGGTACTTCATGTGTGCCTAGATTGTTCTAATGGCTGGATGTGACAAAATGTGACTCACAGTGATAATCTATTTCTTGGTCCTTGTAGAGTAAATGCTGTATCTACTGTAATCAGGCACAAAAGAAGGCACATGAGTTTATTCTTAAATTGTAAATTTGAGAGAGAGGGAGGGAGATTTTTAAAAAGATATTAAACCAATTAGTTCTGAGTAACTTTTCATAATCTATGATTAGTTTAGAATATTTGTAAATGTATACATTACTTTTACTGCAGTCTTTTTTACCATGTTTTGTTTAAAGACATTCTCATGAAGCTCATCTAAATATTTAACCAGTGTGGAGTCTGGTTTTCCAGCGTTTCCCCAAATTCATCTCTGCATAATTGTAAATAAGTGACAACATAGCCAGTGTAAGGGCTCATTGAGCAACATCATACACTATATATTTGATTATAGAGTCTCAAATAGACCTCACAGTCTCAGTACTGTATATGTGTTACTCTTTCACAAAATACTATATACAGCCTAGGGAATTTTGTTATGTTTCTTTTAAAGATATAAAGTACAATCTTAAAATAGTACCTGTGAATATACAGTATATTTGTTTAGTATGTTTAGTGATCAGCACAAACAGACATGCCAACCTATTGTGATTTATTTTGACTGATCATTTCCAGATTCTTATTATTTGTTACTCTGTTGATACTTACCGTGTTATGTATTGTCTGCTTTTGCTGTTTTCTTTCCTTCAGTGCAAAAGTATAAATGCTCACAACAGTACAGGCCACTTGCATAGACTACGCTGTAGGTGTGGCTGTGGCTCAGGAGGTAGAGCAGCTGTCCTTTAACTGGAAGATGAGCAATTCAATTCCTGTTCTCCTCAGTCCACATGTTGACGTGTCCTTGGGCAAGACACTGAACCCAAAGTTGCTCCCGATGGCAAGAGCAGCACCTTGCAGGGGCAACACTGTTATTGGTGTGTGTGTGTGTGTGTGTGTGAGTTGGTGGCCCAGATGGCTGCTTCAGTTCTGTACCGGAGACAATTCCTTGTAACATACTTGGCCAATAAGAAGTGATTATGATGATTATCATTACATCTAGATTCAATGTGGAACCATAAATCAAACTTAAGAAATTGTTCCATGGGCCATGCCCTACCCCTCCAAAAAATTTCATCAAAGTCCATTTATTACTTTTTGAGTTACACTGTGAACAAACCAACCAACAAACAAACACACAGAAATAAAATATATAAAATATGATAATATTGGTTCAAGTACATATAAAGACAGTATATGCAACATCACTGACTTCTCTTTTATACTGACTATATATCTGTGTGGCTTCTCCGTGAGTCTAAAGATTGGATACAGCAGAAAATGTGTGGGACAATCAACACCATAAATCTCTGCCTCTCTCTTTTTCTCCCTCTTTCCAGCAATCAGCTGCATCATCCACCTTTCATCAAGCCAGGCCATTGATCCTCCACCCGGCAGGGGGTCCTTTCAGTATGCAGCCTAATGTTCTCATTATGTGTCGGTCACTTTGCTGATGACTGCTGATTACCATCTCATTGAGAGACATGGCAAGGCAGGGGAGAGAAGGGCCTGCCACAGTTTAAGGAGCTCATCAGAAAAAAATCATGCAGGAGACTTACTTCATGAGACTTGTTTGATGATACCTGAAAGGACTTATTTCTTTAGCTTGGATATATTTAAATATAACCAAAAAAAAAGGCACACAGAGTGATGAGAGACATAGATGTTTTTATATTAACTATTGATATTATTATCTGAATTATCTTCTCACCAGAAAGAGAGAAAATAATCCCTCATTAATCTGCCAGAAAGTAAATACTGTCCAATTAAAGTTGAAGTGGCTCAATTTGCTATATCTTGTGTTACTGAATTTGTTGGAATAGACAGGGCCTGGCAAGCCATTATCATTTAAGCTTCAAGGGTTGTTTCTGAATGTGACTTGTATGTTAAAACTTGGAAATGCTCTGAGATTCTTCTTTTTTAACTTTTATTTATTCAGGGTGGGTCCAGATGCCTCTCTTTTTCAGGAATTCCCCATTCACATTCATACAGTTACACATTCACACCTGGAAGCTGCCCAGTATAGCCACAGAGTGACCCCTGGCCACTGAGCGGCTGGGGTTAAGGGCCTTGCTCGGGAGCACCACAGTAGTGTTACCGAGGGTGGGGCAAGCAATGCTTTATCACCTGTCTCACCCAGATTTAATTCTGCTGGTCCGGGGATTGAAACCGGTGACCTTCCGGTCACAAGCTTGCATTCCCATGAGCCAAAATTTTAGCCATGATATTCTGATCAAATAAGGATAATGTGCATGATCATTCAGAAATAGAACTATATTATACATTGTTGCTTAATGGTAACCACACACACACACACACACACACACACACACACACACACCTATTTATCTATCTACCTGTTATTCTGAAATAAAGCTAGTTTCTAGTTAATGATGTACAATGTACTTTGATTCAGCTTTTTTTGTCTAAACAGATTCTCTTTAGCCCTTTTTGGAGATAGGAAACTTGCTGGATTCGTCAATCTGGTAAAGTGACAGCTTTTTGTTGTTCAGAGATATGGTCACTTTTACATCAATGTTTGTCACAGCTTCATTCAGACATACCCATGACCCTGAAAGAGAGAGCTGCAGTATGCATACGATATTTACCATACACACAAGACTGTTGTAATCTTGTGTGCTTATCCATTAATGTGACTGCATATAGTTCAGACTTATACCATGTTGAAAGTGATACATAAATGTTACTAGGTTCAGCCTAATAAGACTTCTTCAGAAAAGTGACCAGGGTGTTCACTCAAGCATGGAGCCAACACATTCAGATGCTGTCAGGTTAATGGAGAGGAGTGCATGTCTGGGAGGTGCTTCTGACACTTGCCTGTTTGTGTGTGTGTGTGTCTGTATGTGTCTTTATTTCAGCATCCATGTGTGTTGGGAGGGAGGACTGAAAATCCCAAGGTAATCTGAAGCACAAAGGCAATGTCATTATAGACATGGGGGGACATTATTCTAAAATGGCAAGTGATGCAGTGCTGAGACAGTAGATAAGGGGAAGAGAAAATGAGGAGGAAAGAGTGAATGCTTGAATTTGTCATGGACAGATAAAAACAGGCTATAGGGCCAGGCTGGAGGACGCCGTGATAGGGGTGTTGTTTTTTTCCTCTCTTCCTTCTCCCTGCCCTCCCTCCCTCTCTCACTATACCCGCCTCACTCCCTTTTTGAGGTTTATCTGACATACGATGAATGCAGCAATTTTATCTGAATAGACAAAGGAGCGGTGACATGCAGCCTCACTCTGACGACTGACCTTGAAGGAGATGAAAGCAAGGAAGCAAAAAAGGAGAAGGAAAGGAAGGAAGAAATGACCATGGTGGTTACTGTCTCTATTTGTGACAACTCTCTTTTCTATTTTAAATGTTGTCTTCGTTATACTGGTAATAGCATGCAATTAACATGTTTTTCTGTAAACATTTTTAGAGCAGCTGCTTCTGTACACATTTGTATTTACACTATTTAGATTTCAAGTTTCTGTTTTGTTTAGAATGACAAATCCGTCACTAATAAGCCTCTTAGGCTGAGCTCAAAGCACTGTCATAATGTGAAAATAGTTGAATACAGTGCCTTAATTTGAAAAGGCCACATTAAATTTGTTAAATAAATGAAAACCTTTTAAGCTTGCTGTAAGTCAATTATGCTATTTGATGCTGTATTTTTCTTACTGCTGTATGAATAACTGGTCAAATCCATTTGATGTTACAGCTGAGGTGAAGGGTGCTGCCACATTTTCTGCAATCTAAAACAGCCCTGCAGAATTGAAAGGAGTGACACATTCCATTAAGAATTTGAAGCAAGACTTTTCCCAACAAGACAAAGAAATGTTTTCTTGCTTACATTATTCCTAGCACTTTCATTAATGCTAAGCCCATCTACATGTTAAACCAGCAAATGAATGCAACAAGTTTGGGCATGTTCTCTGGGGGCTGCTGCAAGTCATCCTGGCAAACGTAGGAAATTGTAATCTGATATTGAGGTACTAGGTGAAAGACATGTCAAAAAGTCAATCAGAACAGTTGATGTTGAAATAAAACCTGGAATGCAGTGGAGTACACACATTATAATGTATGGTGTGCTGGAAAGCTGCCGTCAACCTTTTCATCAAAATAGGCTAAATATGTATATGAATTTTACATTACTTGCTGAATCAATCAGATCTATGTGAAGAAATATTGATTAATCCTGTGTGAAATTAATTATGAAGCAGTAATGTGACAACCGCAGAGTTAATAGAGCTTCATTTTGCCTAATGCAAACTTCAGCCTTCTTGCTGCTGATCCTACTCCGTGACAGCGTGTAACTGATGACATTTCTTTCCATGCCCAAATGTGTGACGGTTTAGTTGATTAGTGGCTCCTTTGCTCTACAGCCATACATTAAACATACAAACCACAGTACAAGAGATGAATGGGTACTTTTTAATAACAGCAAATATCAAGCAGAGACCAAATGCAGATTTGATTCTTTATTTTTGTCATGTACTTTACTTTCTGCACAGGAACAATAATTTATTGATAATGTCCTGTTTTAAAACCACCATGAAACACAAGACTGTGGACATGTGATTACTGTTCTGTGAAAACTGTGACCATAACTGAATGCGTGTGGCATCAACCTTCAAAGCTGCAATAACTAACTTCTCTCTCTAATTTTTGACCGTTAAGGGCAAAGTGAGAGTCAAAACAAACTCGAGCAGTATCCCCTCCTCTTCTCCCTCTTTGCCCCTCCTGCCTTGTCTGTGAAACTATGTCATATGTGGTCATGATAGCCAGAGACAGCAGCAGTCAGGTAGCGCAGCAGTAGTAACTGGCTCCAGAGCTAATGTATATGGAGTACAGAGCCCATAGAGCCCCATGGTTTTTGGTGGCATTGCAGTAACACAATGTCATATAAAGAGGTTTACATTCTAGCAACATGCATACATATGTCTACCGCTGTGTGTAGCAGATGTATCTGCAGTAATGCAAGCAAAGTATACAGAGGAATGTTTTTTCCCAGTAATATTGATACAGTACTAATATTCAGGCCACTATCACATCACGTTCCATGTTACATACTTGACACACATAGACATAGGGAAACATTTTTTAAAACAAAAATAAAAACCAAATTTAGGTTTCAAATTTTTTTACAAGGTTATCAGTGGATAGAGCAGTCGTCTCCCAACCGGAGGGTCGGAGTTCGAATCATGGTGCCTGCAGTCCACGTGTTGAAGTGTCCTTGGGCAAGACACTGAATCCCCGATGGTTAGTGCCATCGGTGTGAGTTGGCGCCACAGATGGCTGCCTCAGTTCTGTACCGGAAACAAATCCCTTGTGTGTAACATACTTGGTCAAATAAAGATGATTATGATTATATAAACCTTATATAGGTATAAAATGATACTTTGTCACCAGAAAGATATTTGTATGCAAAGACTTTTAGCATTTATCAATATTAAGATTATTAGAATCTCTGTGACCATGTCTTTGGACATACAACAACTTTGACAGAATAAAAAGGCCAGTTGAATGTGATGTTGCAGGCCAACTTATAACAGGTGTGCATGACTCTATCCAGACAGTGATCTTTTAATCTGCTAATGTGAAAGGAAGAATAATCCCACATCTGGAAGTTTTACTGCCCTGTAATTGCAGAGCTGCTGGTGAGCCTTGGAGAAAAAGAATGACCTGCATTCAGCTCCCAACACAGACAGACACGATAACATTTAGAGGGGATGAAATTTGTGTTAATTTCAGATGACTTACCTTTTCCAAACCAATTTGGTTTCCACTCTGTTTGTTGATGTTGCTTTTAATGTGACAACTGTGACATACATTTCCACAACAGATGGATTAATGTTTTTCTTTTCAGTGTGTGTATCTTGTTCATTTCCCTCAGCTCTCTCTTTCACTCTCTCTCATTACCTCTCTCTCTTGCAGGATTTCATCTAGACAGATGCTTCCTGTCCGGACTTTGACGTAAAAGTAAACACAAGTCCAGATGTGAAGTGCGTGTGTCTGTGTGTTCATGTGTGTGCATGTTTAAGACAGACAGACGGGGGGGGGGGCAAGGCATTGTTTGGTCTTTTTACACGCACTGAAAGGAATGGAACATTAAGAGATAGAAAACGAAAGGGAGTAATAAACAATGTGACCATGACAGAGAATTCCAGATGTATGCATTCCTGTAATTTGAACAAGTGAACTGTCCATGAAAATATTCTTCCTTTTCATTTATTTTGAAAAATATAAATCACTGAGTTTATTTACACATTGACATGACATAATGACATGTTGAATGAAAGTGTTTGAATGACTGTAGCATTCTTATACATATTTGTGTGTCTATGTACATATCACATACCCAAAACATTCATTTCTTATAATTCGGGTTAATGGCATCACAGTATGGCTTGACTAGACAGATTATATACAGTAGGCTAAAAGACATACTTTCCTGTTCTGCCATTGCTTTTCTTGTCCTTGTCCTGAATAGAGAGACAGAAGAAAGGAAAAAGAGAAAGAGAAAGAGAAAGAGAAATGTAAAGGTCATGAGTGATGGATGCTTTGTGTATGTCTGTCATTCCCAATTACTGAACTTTGCCTTTTAAAGCATAGCTCAGAAGCATTTCTCATTTCTGCCTTTCTGACTGATGAAGAGCAGACTGACTGGGTGCACTGTGTTTTAAACACCGCCTCACTAGTCATTCAGTATTTACTTCAGATACAATACACTGCAGCAGCCACTCCTGCTCTGCTTTGGAGTTCTTTCTCCATAACTTTAAAAAAAATCTACTCATTGTTTTTTATCAAATATAAAGTTTCCCCGTGCTCAGGTCTGTCATAGTGCCATGCAAAGAAAAATGAGATTACATACTAAAACTCACTGCAGGAAACAGGATGTTGCATTTTGGTACTGAGCAGTGTAGATGGTATTTCCAGCACACACCAAGAAATGCATCACAGGTACTCATTCCTAACATTTTTAAAGATTATTGTAGCAGGATATAAATTCGTAAACTCTATTTTTGCATGGCATGCATTTTCCTGTAAATTGTCTCAGAATAACTGCAGCTCCCAATTCTTATACATACATATGCTGCTATCCTCACGTTTGCAGTTTACATGTATTTTTTCCACTGATCTAGATTAAAGTATTTCAAATGCTTTCACTGCAATGCACTATATTTAGCACAATGTGGCTTATACAGCTGCCTGTGGTTCTGTTATTTATTCTCTACTCTAGCTTTAGTTTATAAGGGTAAAGAAAGAAAAAGTATATGGCAGGCAGCTAAGTTAATCTCCTCTGTGCTCTGTCAGCCTCCTTGCACAACTTAAAAAAAGTGTCATGTTGACTAGCTATAACACTGTGACACTCTACAGAAATAGGAAGAAGAGGTGGGAGGGAATAAGGGATGGAGGAAGCAGTGAATGAGGGGTGGAGAAAGAGGAATGGAAAGAGAACTCCAAATATACACTACCAGTCAAACGTTTGGGCACACACTCCCATTCAGTTCAATGGGAAATGACATTTGACTGTATATCCTATTGTATATCCTCCAAAACCTTCTCCATTCTCACTTTGACTATATTAAAATAATTTCCTCTTAAAACATCTATTTTCTGCCAGTGAAAGCCTCCCTAAGTCTCACAATAAAGGTGGAGGTGGTTTGTGAGGTCAGCCTGAGGAGCGCTTTACGAGACACGCTGCACTGATATATAGCTCACTGAGACTCCATTAAAACCCTGGACCTGTGCCATTTGGGAAAATGGAGGTCATTCACATGACATCTATAAAATCAAACTTTTTGTTCATATCTGGTCATATATCACTTGTGTTTACCCCCCACCTCCCTTTTTTCCACTAATACTTGAATCTTAAACATTAGGACCAGGATTATCGTTTTTCGAGAGGTGGAGCGGGGGCTGTGAGGTGTGTGTTTGTGTGGATGTGCAGGGGAGTTGGTAAGGGGAACAGGGTGATGCTCAGTTTTTGATAAATGTACCATATCAGATCTGCAAAGGAGCATAAGGGGAACAGTCTGCAGCTGGTGATTGTGGAAAGACAGGGACAGGTGTGTCAAGGCCTGGTTGGGTGTTCCTTTTTCTTTCTCTAGCTGTCTCTCCTTCCCATCACTCTTTTCAGCTGTTTGTAATGTTTAGCTTTTCATTTTGTCTGTGTCTACAGGTAACCTAATTAAAGAGACGTTAACTTACATGTATAATCATCTTTGTCTCTTGCACCCATTCTGACATTTTGCTATTCTGTTTGTTAGAATCTTTACCTTAAACATATTCCCTTCCTTTTATCCTAACTCATGTCTCTACTGTATACCTTTAAAGAAACATGTCATTTCCTATATATCCTTTACTCTTCTTTTCTGATTCTACCTTCCCTTATCTTCATGTCTGTTTAAGCCAGAGTGTGTGTCCTGTCTGTCTTGCAGTGGCTCCCAGCTCCCTAGGGCAGCGTTTCCAGGCTTCATTTGTTTGAGGGCTTTCTAATCTGGGGACTGGGACAACCTTAGTCCACTGTGCCCTCCTCAATCATCCCGCAGATCAGCAGAGAGGAGGGGATGAAGGAGTAGAGAGGAGAAAGAAGGCTGGAGGTGATAGCATGATTAGTTGTCTGTCCTCACTCTCACACACCCGCCCCAATGGCCAGCAACTACCACTCCCTACATCTTTGCCATCTCTCACTCACTCATTCACTCACTCACTCACTCCTTCTGCTTTTCCCTGTCTCCCCCCCCCATCTATCTATTTTGCCTTCTTATCTCTCCCTTCTCCTCTCTCCTGCATCCTGAGCGCCAGCCTGTAGTGCCAGCTATCCCTCTGTCCATCTGTCTATTTATCTGTCTGTCTGATTGTCTGACCTCAGCCCCAAGGGTGGTCCCTTTTGTGTCTGCAGACAAATGAGGATGACCTTTTATTGTAAAACAGACACCTATTGGGAGGGATGAAACCGCCAGTGTTTAAATTAACAACAGAGAGAAGAGAAAAAGAGAGAGAGACAGAGAGAGCATTTCAAACTGAGAGAGGGAGTTGGAGAGAAGGAGAGAGAGAGTTAAGTTTTTGAAGTTCTAATAATTATAGAACAGTGTTTGTGTCAAACTAGCATGGCCACTGTTCAATAATAAAGTCCCCTACCTGGCTGGCAGCTATTGATGAACAGTGGTGGAACAGTGAGGAGCGGACCTCTTGAACGTGCCACAGACCCATCAGTATGGGTGCATGAATTATAAATGGCATTGACAGTGGAGGTCATAAGAGTAGACAGAGTATTATTGCACATGAAGGTCCATTCTGATTTTGATTATTTTTATTCCAGGGGGCTCACAAAAGGCCAAGAGACCGTTGGTGAATATTCTAAAAGGGCACAGGGCTGAGATGGGCTTGATGGTAGGCTTTGATTTCTGGCTAATAGCCACTTCAAACAGGCTTGGACAGCTCAGAGACAGAGGAGGAAGATGACACTAGGGCTAAAGGACAGAAGGACATGGGACACAAACAAAGAAAGGCTACCCAAACCACACACACGGAAGATGTTACAATTTACAGTTTAAGAATTTAGATAATGTTAGTGTTCAGAGCTACAAGTGCAACTGAACAAACACAGACAGTCACATAATACCACTGTTTGTGCCATATGGACCTTTTTATGTAATGGAATTTATCCTGGCTTCAGTTAGTTAGATTTTGACTTTGCTGAAAAACTGTAGGATTTTGCACATAATGTAGATAAATTATTTACTGCCACATGCCGTTATCTTGTGGCTGGTCTGGGGAGAGAGCAGTGTGACATTTTATTACCTATTTCACAATGGCAGTGTAGCACCTGTAGCTCATAAAGTTCTTTCTTAGGATTCACATCCAACGCTTGACAATGATGTTTGTTATGGTGTAACATTAAGTCACTTAGTAGTGTCTTGTGATTGGCTTCCATGCTATATATCCACACCGAGAATAAACATTAGAAAAACAAGAAGCATTGCCAAAGTTTAAGAGGACATACAACTCTCTTAACGTTATGAATTATGATGCTTTTGACATTTTAATTCTCATCTCTCTAGCACACTCACACTCATAAACATGGACCATCCTGCTGAGTTGTGATCTGGAGTTCTTTGTTGGTCTAGGCCTGTCTGATCTCAAGGCTTCTGACTGGGAGTCAGAGTCTGGATTTTAGTCTGAATTTAATATAGAAAATTAATCTTACATCACTGCAACACCCACAGCACAAACCCTCACACACTCATAGTTATTCACACACACACACACATACCCAACACAGTATAGATCTTTCTTAAGGTCCAGTTCCACCCCCTCCTCATCATAACTGCCTCTCATTTATTAACCACACAGAGACACACCAATACATGCATTTACACACATAAATATGTCCACACATACCCATACACACCTACTGGGATTGTCTCACCTCTGAGATAGCCTCCACACCACAGCCCCAGTTGCTCTATTTTAATTACAAAGAATGAGCCTGCATAGGTCACACAACACAAATCAATATCTTTAAAAAAATATTCAAATGTGACCTAGAAAACAGAGCTTGTGCCCCCTTTTTATCATTGATTTTTGATGCAAGGCAATTTAGTCTTTGAGAGATTTTTTTTTCAAATCTTTTCTTGCTTTGCAGCACACAGCACAAATATTTACTCCAGTATGCATGTCAGCTTTGTGCCAGCCCCAAGTATGAGAGAATGAATATTGAATTTAAGATAAAGCACAAGTATGAGAGAATGAATATTGAATTTGGAGGTAAGCATGTGTGTATGATCTAATATCCATCCAAAGACAGGCTGCACATTGTCTCAGTCAGGAAGGCAATATAAATATAAGTATATTTGTTAGAGGGAGGGTCAATATCACAAGGTGGATATTGTTTGCACCTCTGAGTTTGCGTAGAGAGAGAGAGAGAGTGTGAAATCAATGTGGTGTGTGGCATCCAGCTCATTGTCTGCTTATTGTTTTGTTTGTTATAGCTATCTGGGTTGAAGACTCTGTCTGGTTTAGTTACACTTTCATTTAAAACACTTACAAATTGCCAAATTTTGTATTCCTTTTCAATACTTTGTTCAAAGAAGAACTCTTGTACCCTTTGCCCCTCAAAGTGTACTGCTTCACAGACATGGCATCGCACATTTTAATCTGGGAGCTTCTACTGTCTGACTGAGAAGTTTCCCTGGGGCAGCTGGGAGTTTAAACTGCCAGCTTTCTTGTCTTACTCCTACTTCTTAGATTGCTACTGAGGTCCATAAAAAGTTTGAATAGACTGATTAGATTTTTGGAATTTGTTAGATATAACATTTATTCTTCTAAGTCTATCTTGTTGAGGTAGTTAGGCAGTTACAACTTGGTTGGTAAAGACAGAATAACCATTTTCATATACACTGCTAAAAAAAATAAAGGGAACACAAGGGAAAATAAGACATTCAACTATGTAATGAACAAGGTATATTTCATTCAT